CAATCAGCCCAGGTTCATATGCCAGTTCTTCCTCTTTCTAGCTCTATAATCTCACACACTACCTCAACTCTCTCCACCTTTAGTTCTTGTCTATGGGCAGAGAAAAAGAATAGGCCTTGCCTTGCAGAGCACCATTATATCGATTATGTCCAAGGCAGGCTGTGAAGAGTTAACCCCACAACTAGCTTGTTTTGAGAAGTGAGTCTAGCTGAAGCCTACATGCCTAGGTCAGAGTAACTCGCACCCAAATTCCATTCCCACAACTAAAACCTTCAGACTAGAAGGACAATGTTCTAATCATGATCATATATTTTGTCTATTCTGTTCCTAATTCGAGAATGCTTTGTCTTGTCCTTTCTGAGCCTTGTTTGCATTAATTTCCATAGAAAACACACTTCACCTTTACCCCAATTGAGTGCCAATAAAAGCCAGTGGCTGGGGCTGTCCAGTGCCTTGGTCAGTTGCATGGGCAGTGGTTGTCCTGGCTCCCCACTTTCTCTCTCCTAGTTCTGTCTTTTACTGTTTTTTTCCTCAGGCCTGAATCGAACACCGGGCAGGTGGGGACTAGAGACTTACTGCAGGAGTCTCTGGCACTACCTTACAGCAACTACTCAACAAATTGATACATTTAAAGAACCAGCATGGGGTCAGATACATAGTAAAAGTCCTGTAAACTGTATCTTAGTCTTGATAAAGCCTTAATCCCATGAATGTGCCCAAGAAAATACTTCTTAGTTCTGCAACATGAACCACTTCTCCTGAAATAAATGTCCCCCTTTGCATCAGAGGAAGAAATGCTGAGTTTATTCTCTAAGAAGTCTTGCGTTAAAAGTCTCACACATACCACATCTCCAGGCTTCACATTTCGTTTCCTTCACACAGCCTCCAGTAGCACCCAAGCATTCATTCAGCAAACGTTTCTGAAGCACTTACGGTATGACTGGCCTGCTGAGATGTATTTTGTCTCCTCTATTCCAAGAAATGAGAAGGTAGAGTGAGATTTGGAGGAAGACTGTCCTGAGTTCGAATCTTGGCTCTTACCCAAGGTGGACATGAGTAAGCCAGGTAAGTTGTCCGACATTTTTCTCATCTGAAAAATGAAAAAAATAATGCCTACTCATCCATTCAAGAAGTGATTTAAACAACAGTTGCTGAATAGATAATCCATAATGTCATTTGGATCCTCTTCTTTCTAATGGAAAGGAGCAAACAATGGAAGAGGTCTCAGGTCACAGGGAGGGAAGCCTCTCCTTTTTCACTCTCAGCCCATGAACATATGCTCCAGAACATTCTTGAGGTAAATACGTGCCTTGTTTCTCTCCTCTCAAATGAATGCAAGCAGGAGAAGTAAAGGAACCCAGGTGAACTTTGGCCACTTGGGTCCTCGGTTTGCAGCTACTTTTCTCCTTTGTAAACACTTCAGTTCCAAAGCAGAACCCAGCCAGGTGGAGAGAGCCACCTGGTGTGGAGATTCTGGGTCCAAGATTCTGACTGAGTATGGCCAGCAGAGCCAGACTGCAGCAGGAGTCCACGTGTCTATTGGGGGAGTCAGCGCGGGATACCAGGCTCCAAGTAGGTAAAGGAGGCATGTGGGACATGCCGTGTGGGACAACCCAAGGGAAGGTGTTCAACTTGAGTAGGCTGGAAGATGAGAATGAGACACTGGAACCTGTGTGGGGTAAGATGGATTTTCACAGGGCAGAAGGGAAGGACATCAGTGAGCACAAGACATGGATCATATGCAGGATGAGTGAATAAACAAATAAATCTATTAAGCATAATGAAAACCAAGTCCCTCACTGCCAAAAAGAAGGGAGTCACAATATGGAAAGGAGAAAAAAATCAATAGACCACGAGGGTAGGATTGCAGTTGGATAGGGTGTTCAACAAAACAATTGAATGACCATAGCTGACTTCAACTGAATATCTAAAAATACCTTATAGAGAGTATTTGGGATGTTCCTAAGACAAAAAAAATGACAAATATCAAACGTGATAGACACGCTGTTTACCCTGATCTTGCCACTACCTATTTTATACATATATTAAAATGTCATTTTCTACTCTATCAATATGTATGACTACTATGTGTTGATTAAAATTTTACAAAAAAGAATAGACCATGAGTATTGGTTTGGAATGAGAGATACCACCATGAACTGATTTTAGTGCATAAATAGAGACAGATGTTAATGTAGATGGTGTGTGTGTGTGTGTGTGTGTGTGTGTGTGTGTGTGTTCCTAGCTCTATCTGCTAAGAGGTCCTGGAGCCACTGGTACCTCCAAAGCAGTATGTACATTTAGTGCCCATTTCATGGCTTTCAAATACCATTTTCTACTGAAAGTAACCATAATTTCTTGGAGAAACAGCTGATTCCAGGGCTAAGGTGAGAAAATTTCTGGAAAAGTCTGAAATACCTGGTTGTACCATACAGCAAGAAGACACTCAAAGGATGGTGGTAACAGCATGAGGACACACACACACACATACACACACACACACCAGCTTGAAGAAGCCAAAAATGATTTGTGTGTCCAAGTGGAACATCAAAAACCCTTCATGAAAGCAATAGATTATAAGCCATTCAGTAAAGTAGAAAACCACAGTTCCATACAGTTATCAACACATAAATGAATAAATGGAGTATTTGATGAAGAACTGGATGTTTACAGATTTTTAAAAGTGACTTCCCACAAAATGCTTATTAGTTATAAAGTGGGAAAGTATCACTTTGCAGAGAAGATACCTTTAAGACGCTATCTCAATAAAATGACTGTCAAAACTGAGACAAATCAAAAGCGTGTGGCACATGGTAGGATGAATGGAAAAGACCACAGCTTCATTTCCATGACACTCCTAAGTCTAAACATGAAAAACCTTCAAACAAACTTAAATTGAAGAGCATGCCATAAGGCAACTATCATCTTCAAAGGAGACCAGGGAAAATGGAGAAACTCTTCTAGGTAGAAATAGAGCTGTGTAAATTCTACCCAGGACTCCGGACTGGATTCTCTTGCTGAAAGATATCACAGGGCAACTGCATAAACTTCAGTGGGTCTGAGCATTGAATAGTAATCAAGTACCAAAGTCAGCTGCATGATTTTGGCGATTATTGACAGTGATGCCCTTATTTGTAGGAAATGCAACTAAGGAATTTAGGGGTGATAGGGACCTAAAGTCAGGAACTTTCCTTAAGTGGTTCAATTGAAACTAATTATTTTTATTGCACTTGCAAATTTTCTGAACATTTGAGATAGTGTTAATGTTTTTAAAATTTATACATTAAAAAATACACAGCTGTGACCACAAATTCTGTCCATGGAAAAGAGTGATAGTTCTCTTCTTTTACAATTACATTATATCTTAAAGGGTTTATTCCCCTTTTTTATTCTGCTGTGCTAGTATAAGCTGTGCTGTGTGTTTAATTTTATACCCTGTGTTGAGAATGTTTTAAATCAGAGAAGAAGGCCAAGAAGGCAGAGTGGGAGTGAAATAATATACTCCAGTGATCTTTATGGATTCCCAGGGCCCTGAAAATGCAAGCACTTATTATACTGACCTCCCCAACTTTGTCCATAACTGAAGGTATCCTGGCTCCTTAAGAATCTGGCCTGGTAATTGCTACCATAAACCATGCACTGCAGCCCCGGCCAGGACACGCTTGGCTCTGGCTGCCAGCAAAACTCACACTAACCCTCACCTGCCTCCATCTGCGTGCAGTCTCTAAACGAATGCCCCTTGGTAAGCAGAAATCTCACTCTAGCTTCATCGCTGGATAACAAGAGCTAAGCCATCATCTCTGAACCCCAAATTATTCAGGAACTGGCACATTTCCTAGGAAAACCTCAAACATCACAATGTTTCCCTGTCTCAATCCATTCAAGCTGCTATAACATAACATTATAGCCTGGGGGACTTCTAAACAACAGAAATTTACTACCCACTGTTCTGAAGGCTGGAAGTACAAGATCAACATGCTGGCAGATTCAGAGTCTGGTGAGGACCTGTTACTCAAAGATAGTGCCTTCTTGCTGTGTCCTCACATGGTGGAAAGGGTGACAGCTTCTCTGGAACCTGTTTTGTAAGGGCACTAATCTCATTTCAAAGGCCTCACCTCTGAATACTATCACCTTACAGACTAGGATTTCAAAACATGAATTTGGAAGGGACATATTCAGACCCTAAATGTGTTTCTGTAGGGACCCAGAATTCAGGGGAGAGACCTGTCCTCTGCTTCTTTCCCTTCAAGCTGTGTCAGAGCAAGGCCGATGAAGAGGGAAATGAGAACTTCCTGGTTTTGAGCCCTGTTAACACCTAAAATCAACGGTTTTGGTATTCAAAAGATGACCCAGAAATTATAGAATTGGAGCATTTAAATGAAACAACTTTATATAAGCCCCTTAGACATAGAATTTGGGTTCATCATTATTTATTTCAATTTAAATCAAATGAAAAACAAAATCTCATCTCCAGCTCTTGCTTGGAACAGTTCACGCTTCAAACCCACCTGAGACTGACACACAGGAAGAGAGCGTATCGAGTAAGCTGAGTCATCACTATGGAGTCAGAAAGAAATGTGTTCAATGCCAGCTCTGTCAATGGTTAATCACATTAAAAAATTATTTTGATATTCCTAAGAATAAATTTCTCCAACTATAAAATTAGAATTTTATTAATACTATCTGGTATAGAAAATACTATCTGGTGTATTCTGCTGTGGGAAGTACTCGAAAGTATTAAATATATAAAACAGTTGGTAGAACATTTAACTCACAATAGGCCTTCAGCAAATATGAGCTATGTTACCATGGTTATTCCACTGGTCAGTGTAGAACAAGCTATGCTAAAGGAACAAATCCCGGAGTCACAGAGTCTTAACATAACAAAGGTTCATTTCTCAATCATTGCAAATGTAATGTCCATCAAGCAACCTTCTTTTGTTATGTAGCTGTGCCATCTGGCACATGCAGTCTCCAAAGTTTCTGTGGTGGAAAAAGAGACAAGCCAGGGCTCCTAGGTTCATCTTCTGCTCATGTCGCGTTGATGAGAACTCAGTCTCATGGAACCAGCCTGAGTGCACTCTCATTTGCCAGAATAAAAGGTATGTGGACACCCAGCAGCCTCACTTCCACACTAAGCAGTTAGACAGGGCCTATGATCAAAGAAAATCCATAAATAATTGTCAGTGGACTTAGGAAACTTGAGCATCATGGCAGAGACTTAAGTTTAAAAATAGCCATGAAAAAGCAGAATATAATCAAAATCATAAATGTATGGACATACTCGTGTGGGAGCACAGAAGAAAAAGACTTCAGAGTAGGAGTAAAAGAAAAGTTTCATGCCCAATCTGGGTGAAGCGGTGCATACCTGTAATCCCAGGAGTTTGGGGGGCTGAGGCAGGAGGATCATAAGTTTGAGCCCAGTCTGGGCAACTTAGCAACTTAGTGAGACCCTGTCTCAAACTTTTAAAAAAAGATAATAATTTAAAAAGAGTTGGGGATGCAGTTCAGCGTGAACCTGGGTTCAACCTGGGTTTCATCCCCAGTACTGAAAAAAGAAAAGAAGAAAACAAAGAAGGAGGGGAGGAAGTGGGAAAGGAAAGAAGGAAGGAAAGAAGGAAGGAAGGAAGGAAGGAAGGAAGGAAGGAAGGAGGGAAGGAAGGAAGGAAGGAGGGAAGGAAGGAAGGAGAGAGTGGGAGAGAGAAAGAAAGGACAGAAGGAAAAAAAGAAAGAAAGAAAGAGAGAGAGAGAAGGAAGGAAAGGGGAGGGAGAGAGGGAAGAAGAAAATGAAGACTTCATAGCAGACAAAAAATTTGGGTTGGCTCCTGATTGACATTTAGGACAAGAATATAGATTTATGAAAAAGGAAGTGATAAAAATGTGTGTGGATACTCCCACTGCCCATTGTCCAACTCATAATACTTCTAGATGGAACCCAGTTTTCTGGGAGAATTCAGAATGTCCACAAAATCTTATTCAGTGTTAACAAGCGATGAAGAAAGCTGAACTCATGCTGAACGATCTGACACATTGGGCCAAATAGGACATGAACCTTTGTGAACCCAGCACTATTCACACATGTTGATGCACTGTTCTCAGTGGGCTCAGGAGAGGATGGAAATTTTCTGGTTCATCTGTCATTGAGCAAGAAATTCCCCCTATCCAATTTGTAGCATGTCAGGACCTCAAGAGGTCAGGGGTTCTCCTTCTGTCCTGCTTATCACGGACAAACTGATACTCATGTGGTGGACACTTTGTTCTAGATGGCCACCAGAGGTTCACCTACAGTCTGTCACCTTGGAAGGGGTGGGAAGGTAAGCTGAGCTCTCTTGAGACCCTAAATGGAATGCCAACTTGACCTCTCTGACATGACAGTTTCAAGATAATCAGATTTTTGTAGCTCAAGGCTCCAAGAGCCAGGGTTCCCATGAGCAGTGTGGGAGCTACATGGCCTCTTCTGACTTAGTCTTGAAGTTATGGAATATCAACTCCATCATGCTATACTCCTTATAGAAAATCCCTGAGTATATCCCAGATGAAAAGGAATATGAAAGGGATCCTTTGTTTTGATAGAAAGGGGGAAATTTTTGCAGCCATCTTTAATCAGCCACACTGGGCTTTGAAATGTGTAAAACATAGAGTCATATTTCATCAGTTAAATTATCAAGTGCTTTCTGAGCCACTCCTGTTTTCAGAGCATGGTGCTAGGAGATACTCAGGAAGCCTGTTGGGAAGTCATACACAGGACACATTCAGCCAGCAGCAATAAGTCTCATTGCTGGCTCTAAATGACAATGTGGGCCCAGTCAATTCACTCTATTTCCCAGGTATCAGTGTCCACACCTACCACATAACATGGCCACCCTTGCCCTGCCATGCTGCATTCGTGTAAGATGAATTAAATGGGTGGGGAAAGGCTTTGAACATAGTGAATGCTATGTTACCACGCACTGATTAGTACTAGTCATGGAATCTACCCTTGGGGAACTAATTGGTTGGGAAAGTAAAACCTTGCTGGCATGAAAAAAGAAAGTATGAAGAATACATGACTGTGTGATCAAGAACAGGCTGTAAGGCTCTGATTGTAAGCACGACAGGAAGGAGGAGAAAAGAGGGACCCATAAGAGCCATTTGGGAAAGACTGCCAGTATATCAGACTTCATTTCCATTGAAGAGAGATGAAGGATTTGCAACTCTGTGGGAATTCAGGGAATTAACATTTCCAACTGCTTACGCACACTGCTGATTTATTTTAGTCTTGAGCTTTATTTGTAGCTACGTAGTTGGGTTGGGGGTACCTAGCTAACCCTACCCCCTTAATTCTGCCCATCCTTAACTATAAAGGTACCCAGCAACCATGCAGGAGGCATGCTGAGGCTGTGTGCTCTTAGCAAGCACAAGCTTCTGAAGACTTCAGGCCTCCAGGCTCCCTCAGCTTCACTGCATTTGCAGGAGGCTGAATCTAACAAGCCCCGGAGTCCCTCCTCGGGCCTTGTCTTTGATCTCTGATAGCTGCTTTTGAGTGACAGCTTCTGATGGTGGCATCACCTTTGTCCAGAACAGGAGGAGCTCTCTGCTTGGGGACCGGCTGCTAGAAGAGCAGCAGCTGCCCCTGGTAGTCATCCAAGCTCCTGGGAGATTCTGAGCCAGGCTAGAGCCCCTTGACTCAGGACTTAGCGGGTAGCAGGGAAGGCAAAGGTCAGTCCAAAAGTTCCTTGTCCTGAGGCGCAACTTCCACTCTGGGCTCCTGAAGCTTCTTGGGTACCATCAGACTTTGCAGAGCCTCACGGTTCCCCAAGGCAGCAAGCAGTCTGGATGCCCCAGAAGTGCCCCTGGGCACCAACTCGCCACTCCATCTGCTGCTTAAAGGTTCTTCTTGTATAAACAGGGGTATCCCAGCCCCTAGAGTCTAGAGGTGCTCAAAGCGAGTCCCAGAAGGTGACCAATGTTAATGAACCACGCAGACCCTCCATATTGGTCACCACAAATGACATAACAAGGCTCTGGGGGTTAAAGTGATCCTAAAGTCCTACAGCTGGTAAGGAAAGGAAATCAGCCTCCTGGAGTCCATGCAGCCACTCTGCCCAGTGTGCTTTGCCATTGTTTCCTGGTCTTTTTTGTTCTTCTCTGCTTTACCATCTCTGAAAAGACTGAACTCCATGTGAATAGACCTTTTCTCTCAAAGCCCCTGTTTCTGTGCCTGTCCCTTGTTACTCCTCAAGAATGTCTTAAAACACCTATCCCATCCTTGCTGTTAGTCCTCGGTAAGCTTGTGCTCTAGGTTCTCATTTCTCTAAGATTTAGTTTCTTCCATGCTAAAATGAAGATTCTGATTTGTGTGTGTGTGTGTGTGTGTGTGTGTGTGTGTTAGAAGCTTTAATCTGTGTTTAATTAAAAGTTCTCAACATATTTTTATTACTTCTTTCCCAGATTCTTTCCCATGTCTTCCTGGGCCTTTTTGCATAGATGACTAATAAGCCAGATATTGACATGAGCCATATGAAGACTGGCAGATTCTTTAAAGTCCTCTCCCTCCTGTCTAGAAAATTGATTTTTCCTGTTGGTATACATTTTGGCAGGGGCCACACTGATCTAGTCCACTGGGTTGGTCACATTGAGTTCTTCTGTAAAACCATGTCCCATAGTCACAGAGGGCTTCCTGGGGAGAGGACATACTTGGATCTATCGTAGCTGTGACTTCTGAGTTGTGACTTCTGAGAGCCACAGACATCCCATGGTCCACCCCTATTCTCTTAGGGTACCATCTACTTTCAACTTTTCTAAAGCAAACCCTCTGCCTACTTGAACTTCCCCATGATGGCTCACCATGCGCTGTTTACCACTGATCATATAGATCTACATGCAGGTGGGAACCTTGTATCTGCAGATTTCCTAGCTGGATGGCTGCAGTGGCTTGAATATGCTGTGTTCTCACCGAAACTCATATTGACACTTGGTCCCCAGTGTAACAGTGTTCACTAGTGTTGGGGCCTTTAAGAGGTTTTTATACTTTTCTCACAGCTCCAACAGAACTGGACTGGCTACCTGGGCAATCAGTTGTTATATAATACAAGCCTGGCATGTCCCATGATCTCTTTTCCACACATGCTTTTCTGCACACATCCACTTCCTTTTCTTCTTTTTCACCATGAGTTGAAACTCCATGAGGCCCTTACCAGAAGTCAAGCAAATGTTGATGCCTAGCTCTGAGGCCACCAGGAGTCAGCTTTATAAAGAACTCAGCCTCAGGAATTCTGTGATAACAACACAAAATGGACTAAGACACTAGCTCAACCATGTGACCTTTGCTTCCAGGTTTGGAGATGGGTCTTCAGATCATGCCATTTCTACTGGGTGCCATGTCTGCCCAATGAATTGATGATTACCCAATCAATCAATAAAAGTTGAGATCAGTATTATTATTATTACCATCATTATTGCCAGGGGTCTGAGAGTAAAGATAACAAGGAGTGAGAAATGAGTGGAGCAAGAGCTGAGCTCTGCAATCAGACCAAACTAAATGTGAATCCTGATGTGGATATTGCAACAGTACCTTGAGCAAGATATCTGTTTCTTCTGAATTGCAGTTTCTTTGTCTATAAAATGGGTGTACTTGTATCTATCTCACATCATTTTATGAGACATAATGGTAGCAACTGATAAAAATTGCCAAGTAGAGCAGATATTCACTCCAGGTCAACGTCCATCCCTTCCACCCAGTGCAGTGGAGCTTTTCAGCAGCATGGAAGTCTGATGGGTATGTAAATAGCTGGAGGCAAAAGGCCCCTGCAGGAGAGCTCAAGACTCAACATTTGGGTAAGAGTGACTGCCAACCAGCCCAGTGAAAACTGACCCCATCTCCAAGAACCCAGACTGGCCCCAAAAAGTCCCTGTGGGCTTCGCTGCTCAATTGTCCCCACTAGGATTCAGAGGGGAGGATGTCACTGTCTTCATTTTACAGGTGCCAGAAGAGTCATCCCAGGTAACTGCATGAATGTAGATTTACCCAACTTCATGTTGCTGTGAGCAGAAAAAAACAAACAGAAAAATTGTCCCTTTGAATAGAAGAATCACCCCCCAGAAATGACGGTCATTTCATCTGTCCTCTTTCCCCACTAAAAGACACTATAAGAAATGCAAAATGAGCCCACCCCACAGTAGTTCAGTGCCCATTAAGCCTCAATTAGATCTTTGGTTGTATTTGTCTTTCCAAGGAAACAATGAACTTCAGAGCCAGAGCCCTACTTCCTGCAGCTCCCAGTGATGGGTATTCACTGAAAGGCACCAACAGACACCAGATACCACGGTTGCTCTAGACACTGTATCTCCGGGACTAGGGAAAGTTAAGAGGACCAGATCTCAGTTTTCCCCAGGAAAGGCTGGCCGAGGCTCAACTCCATCTTCGGAGGTTTGTGGTATCTTCGCTCAATGCTTATTAACTTCAGTGCATCTAATTATTCTTTATACAGTTGGGTAAGTTTGAATCGCCTGACCTCCCTGCGTAGTTTCAGGGTTTTAAATGACTGACAGTGGCAATTAGCTGTAATTAGAAAGGATTAAAACCACCCATCAGGCGAGTTTCATAGATAGAGCCAGTGCTTCTTATATCTTCATTTGAGAAGGGAGCAACCTAACCCTCGTCTCTCTTCATTTCTTGCTTTTTCTTTGTGTCTAAAAGGGACCCAAGAGACCCAGGCAGGGTCAGTAGCAGTGGAAACCTGTCTTGCTCACTGGCAGGCCAACCCCACCTTGGTTTGCACAGAGGTGAGTTTGGCAGCTGATAATGAGAACAAAGCTGAATTCCAGCTCAAGAGTAGGGAGGGAGAGGATATGGGGAAAAGGAAAAAAATATGTCTTTAGAAAGGAAAAATCACTGAGGCTGTAATCCTCATGGCAAAGACTCTCTAGGAGCTAAAGCATAATGAATCTGGTTTCTGGGTTATTCTGCTTTTGTTTACTTACGTTTGACAATGCATATTTATGCAAATCAAAGTGGGGCTGTTGGTTGTTCATTAATTAGCATCTGATTCCTCCTCCGGTGTTGGCCAGATTTGGAGAATTCAGCTAATTTAAGAAACAGTAGATTTTCCCTGCAATGCTCTGCAATGTGGGTCTCCATCTGGATGGCACCTGAGTGGCAGAGCCTTGGTGTCAGGATTGAGGGTAAAGGTGCAGGGCATAGAGGCCCAGAGACGGTAGGAATGCCAGGCTGGAAGATGCCTTGGGGGTTATGGAGTCTGACTCAAAGTCTGCAGTAAGACCTTGCATAGTATTCTGTTTGGGGGAAGACTCCATATACACAGCCTCCTTTAATCCCAGAAAGGCCTAAGAACAAATTAAGCAGCCTTATCTGATTCCATCTTCATGATCCCTATATCGTAATGCCACCCCACTTTGCAGATGCATGAGCTGTGGCTCCAGGAAGGCTGCTGAAGATGGCTGAGCCAGGACCCAGGGGCTTTTCCCAGCCTCGCTCAGGAGCTGAGAGGCTGAGGCCACACGCACTCTGAGAAAGAGCCCCCTCCTGAGGAGATGCCTACAGCAGGGACCCTGGAGGAAGCCGAGGCCACACGCCACTCCAGAAACCAGCTCTACCAGGACACAGCAACCTGCAGAGTCTTAGCCAGGAGGCAAGAGGGCAGCTCAGGGCCCAGCTGTTGATTCAAGGCAGAGGGATTGGTGTGTCAGGCTTTTATTCTGATACTGGTGAGCCAAAGCTGCAAGTCAAGTCCGTGAGAGTAACGGAGATGTTCTCTGGTCAGCTGGGCCCGGTCCTGTTTTTCCATTCAGAAATCCTTACTTGCTCCAGCCCCTGGGAACCCTGGGCTCTGCTTTTCTGTTAGGTCTGAATGCTGCCCTCATCCACCCCTGCTATTTTTTAGGCCATTTGCCCTACCTGTCTGAGACCAACACACACACGCACACACACGCACGCACACACACACACACACACTCTGCTCACCTACCTCCCATTCTGCTATTCTGAGCACTGCCCTACAGCTGACCACCCCCTCTGAGCCCACCACACTCTGGCCCTGTGCCAACCTTGGTTGTATTAAGACATCCTTCCAGCACAAGTTTCACAGAAGAAACACTGGGATGCTGCTGTTTTTAGCCACATCCAGGAGGGGAGAGGAGGAAAGCACGGGAAATCGTATTCCTGTAGAGACTGTAGAAGTCATACCTGGGGCCAGCAGGAGACTGAGGAAGCTCCCAAATGAACTGGGCACTGTTTCCCCTCGAGAAACTGCTGCTCTCTTGGCCTGATGCACTTCTGCTAGACTCCTAACTCAGAAGGTTGCAGCCCCCATTTTGACTAGTGATCGGCTGGCAGGGACAGAATGTAAATTGACAACTCATGTTAAATGAAGTCACTTTCTCCTGCTCAGAGGCTCTGGAAAGTGTCACGGAATATCCGTGCAGGTGTTTTCTTTCCCTGATTGATATTAGCATCATTTGTTTCCAGCAGGAAACAGAGAAAGAGCGACTGCATCCCTGCCAGCCTGCTGCAGCTCAAGTCCACCTCCCTGTATTCACAGCCCCAAGCTAATCAGATCAGAAGCCCCAGCCCAGCATCCCTGGCAGGGAGAGGCATCCGATGGAGCTGCTCATTAACAGTAGCTGCCTGCCTTCCCCTTATTCTCCCCAGGACCCAGAATCAGAGCCTTTGTTGTCCAGGGAATTAGGAATGAAGGTTTCTGCTGACCAAACCACAGGGGACCAGGCTAGGCTGAGATTCACCTTCTGTGTTTCCGTGTGATACATTGCTGCGGGCATGCACGCATGCGCGCACACACACATACACACACACAAACAAGCCTCCCTAAGCCTGGATGCTCAGCAGCGCCAAAAAGTTTATATTAAGCCCCTATTATATGCAGGCCACTGAAGTTGGTGTGCTCTAAAAGGCTTGAGTGAGAATTCAAGCAACAAAAAGCAAACAATCCCCCCAAGCACAGCCTCGCTAGGAAGATGTTTATAAAATGCTAAACTGTAACACCATGGACAGAAAACAGGCTTGGAATTCCTGTTCTGCCTCCATCCTTGTAGTGTGGGGCAAGAAGCCAGCGTGACAACCCACAGCGCTAACACTACGGTGCGAAGCACCCCCGTCTAGTAACCGAGGACCACCCGCCTGTTCACCCTCCTATCTCCGTCTCAGCACTAGGTCAGGTAGGGAGAGCAGGAAGTGAAATTACCATTTTGTGGATGGAAGTAGGAAGATCAGTGAGGTGGGGTGATTTAAGGTTTCCTAGCCAGTCAGTTCAGCTGGCCCCATCTGCCATCCCACAGCTGACCTGAGAAATACCCTCAGGACTGTGGGGCCTCACAACTATTCTCAGCTCATCCTCATGAGTGTTCCCCTAAAGTGGTCCCAGAACATGGCTTGGAACCGATTGGAGTGAGTGCTCTTTGGGCACCTTGACATTTTTACCAAATCATCCCTGCTCATCTCAAAATGTTGCTTTCTGAGATAGCTGGGTTGTAGCAGGCTCCACTTGACCTCCCTGGCCACAGACCTGTCCCGCCACACCAGGCCAGCCGCTGGGTTTTTTCTGCACTTGGCCCTTGTGATCGCAGAGTACCTCAAGGTGCTAAGACTCCAGAGATTGGCCACTGACAGCCTGCTGGGGCTTGGTGGGAAACCTCGTGGGCTCTGACAGCAATCTAGAGGTCTCCATCCCTCCCATCAGATGAAATGCTGTACTCAAAGCCTCTCCCAACCCAGCACCTGCTTTGCCTGAGCTACAGTACAGTTTCCAAGGCTTTGTTGCTCACATACAAGAAATATTTGCTCATCGAAAATCCTACAGAGCTTGACAGAGTCTGGAAGCGACGCGGTACTCTGTACCACACTGGAGAGCTGCTCTGCTCCTCTGAGCCACCTGCTTGCCCTTCTCAGGTGCTATTTTGATTCATATTGTCATTTTGAAAAAAAAACCTAGGCTACCAAAAATGATAAAACCTACAGCTCCCAATCCTACCACCTCCTAGTCCTCAACCTAGCCCTCTTCTCCCAGCCCTGCCAGAACAGCATGGAAAAGCCTGTGCTTCTGGAATGGAGGACAGGGGTCACCTCTTTTCTGTCCCCAGAATTGTCCCTTCAGGAGGAAGACCCTGCCAGAAGGCTCCCTGCTTTGGGAGGCTTTCATAGATCAATAGGCCATGCTGTGGCCACTTTATTGTACCAAAGTGCTCTCGGATGTATGGTGGTCAAAAAAGAGAGAGGTGGATAGGGCGGGGACTTCAAGAGCCCATTAATTACAGGGAAATGCTGGCTGATCAGTCATAGGGACCACTGAGGGCCAGGAACTGACTCCAGGGAGTGAGAGCTGTCTGCCTCCTTTGTGGTTCACTGCTCTCCTGGAGAAAAGGATGTTTCCAGTTTCAGTCCAGTGAATGAGTCTGTGTGTACTGGCAGGACTCGCGGGTGGTCAGAGTTTGCCTGAGGAGCTAGGGAGGTTTGTCAGTCTGGTCTGACCAGGCCTTCATAGCTAGAGGTAGAAGGAGAACAGGGCTCCAGGACCCCATCACAACAGAGCCAGAGAACCACAACATGCAGTGGACAGAAATGAAGCCTGTGGCCTTCTGGCTCCATCTCTAAAATGCTGAGCAGCCAAGTACATTAAAGGGAGAGAGAAGGACACTGTCAAGGGTGAAAGGAAGGAGCATTCCGAGTCACACTGGTCTTCCTGGGTAGCCAGTAGGCTGTTCTGCTGTCCTTTAAAAAAATTTCTCCCCAAGGTAAACCACTGCTTTACTGCTTCCAGATTTGGCTCAAATAAACACACACACACACACACACACACACACATGTTTACATGCATATGCTTGAATCAGAACTCCCAATTTTGTGTGTTCAGAGTGATGACTTGTGGCTTGGCAGAACTGAGGATAAGCTAGGGTAGGCAGGACTGTGAGCTGGGCATGGCACCCCAGTGAAATGTCACCCTCACCAATCATAGCAGGCAAGATTACAACTGCCAAACCTGGCCAGGGTGGACACAGCCACACCACACTGTGGCCTTTGTCCTCCCTAAACCCTTCCTCACACTCAGCAGTCAGCCTGGGGTCCCACTTCACTGGGACCATCCAAGCCATCACCTCAGCTGCTCATCCCTGAGCAGCAACCCTTTCCATCCAGCCCTGTCCCTTCCTGTCACCAGGTTGTGGGACCTGTGCCAGTAGGAGAGGCCAGTTCTTCCCATTATGCTCAAGACCCCATCCTTCCCACTTCTCCAAGGCCTTAATATCATCATTGCCTTGACCTCTGTCTTCTGGACCTTAAAGTTCTCTACCCTCTTACATCTGTCTTATTGCCATTTGAACTTTATCTAGTCTTTTCCATTAATAAAAGTAATGATAATTTTTGAAAGTCTCTAAGTCTTACATCTGCTCGAGCTGGCTCCACAGCACTCCCCCCCACCCCGCCAAAAAAAACCCCTGTTTCTACTCAGTGTTTCCAGTTCCCTACGCCCACTCATGCAGTCTGGCTTCTGCACACATTTTGCCACCAAAATGGCTCTCACTAAAGTCACCTGCAATTTCCACATTACTGACACATCACAACTTTTCAGATCGTTTGCCGCTCAACCTCTTAGTGGCCTTTAACAACCTATTGACCACTCTCTCCCTTCTTCTTGAAGTGTTCTTGTCTCTCGGCTCTCTTGGTTTCCTTCCTGCCTTTCTGGTTTCCTTCTTCACAACTGCATTCCAGCCTCCTCTTCTTCCACCCAGCCATTTTCTGTCGGCTTTCCGGGGCTCTCCCACACCCATCACCTCTTCTCTCTGCACTCGCTCCCCACTCAATCCCACACTCCCTGTGACCCCAGTCACCACCTAGCTGCCAACCTGAATCTCCAAGCACCAGGCCTCAGAACCACAGAGTCTGACTTGGGCCCTCAGGGTCTCAGACTGGGGATGCCACTCTCAGGGGCAGTGGAGACCAGTCTTCACATCAATCATGGAGGACACTCAGGGGCAGCTTGCAGAGATTCTGAGTGCTTCACATCAGGCTTATGGTCAAGGCTGCCTCTGCCTTCTATGTTTCTCTTCAATCCAGTGACTTGCCTCTCTTTCCTCCCATCATTCCAATCAGTTTCTCCCACCCCTGCTCATGTGTGCTTGTAACATCCCCTTGTGTGGCTTCCGTGTCTACTATCCCAGAGAAGTCAGTCTTATTTTAATTTAATATAAATCAAATCATTGTTTAAAACTTTTCCAAACCATAACCCTCGCTCTGACCTATGAAACACCTTGCAGTGAATGATAATCGTCACCTACTGCAGACACAGTCTGAGACCTTCACCCACAGCCCATCCCACGATGCTCCCCAGGTCATTCCTTTCCCCAAACACTGTTCTTTACTTGCTCACAGATTCCAACTTCCAATCTCAGGGTCCTTCTCTGCTCCAGATCCTCTGAGTCCTCTCCCGCCTCAAATGCTCCACTCTTGCTTTACTCAAGTTCCTTTTCCATCTCATCCTCGGCCCTGGGCTTAGACATCTCAGGTCTCTACCATCAATCATGTGCCTTTGCTCTTGGATCTTCTGGATCCCTATGCTTCTCTTTTGCCCCACATATAACAATGAGGTTTCTAAAATTACATGTTGGTATCTGCCTGTCTCAGGAGGCTGTAAACTCCTGAGTGGCAGTACCTAACCTGTACATACCAGCATTCATTATGGTAGGTGCTCAGTAAAAAGCTGACAGGGCCGGGGATTTAGCTCAGTGGTTCTGCCACCTGCCTCGAAAGTGCAAGGTCCCAAGTTCGGGACCCCAAAATAAATAAATAAATAAATAAATAGCTGATAAACAAATGAATGTCACGCTTTTTAAGTGATGGGAAAAAAACAGGCTTCACAGGAGGATACCACAAGGCAATGGGGCCTGCAGCAATCCCCATAATAGACAACACTTCCACAGTATTGACTGTATACCTCACGTTGTTCTAAGCACTTTATAATATCCTGATTAGTTCTCAGAGCAACCCCATTTGAGGGCTTTCCTGTTAGAATTCTCCCCTCTAAGATGGAGGAGTTGAGATAAGAGGGATCGAGTGAATTTCCCCAAGGCCACTGTGATAGTCAATCACAGTGTCAACGTGAATGGACTAAGACATGCCTAACAGATTCCTGGGGCACGAATCTGGGTGTGTGTGGATGACTGGCTTGCCTTTTGTTGTGGTGTTTGTTTTTTTTCATTTTGTTTTTTGGAGGGGTTGTTTATTTGTTTTGTTTTGTGAGAGAGTGTTGCACTATGCAGTTCAGGCTGGCCTTGAACTCACTATGTAGCCCAGGCTGCCCTCAAACTCATAGGGATCCTCCTGCCTCAGCCTCCTGAGTGCTGAGATTGCAGGTGATTGACCTGTCAGCTGCAAGCTGAAGAAGAAAGACACACCCCAGATGTGGGTGCCACAAACCAACAGCTTATGTCCTGAGTGGAATAAAAACCAGAAGGAAGGAGGAAGTCCACCCCTTCACTTTTGTTGGGAGAGCTCTGGTCTTCACACCAGCTTTGGATGTCCATCTCCAGTTCCTTCAGGCCTCCAACGCAGACCCTTCAGCTTGCCCACATGGACTCACACTGCACTCTGCTGCGAACTCCAGGCCTTTGACTTGGTCCTCTGGCTCTCCAGTGTGCAAGCAGCCCTTCCGCATTCTTCCACCCCTGATTCGGCAGACAGCCACTGCCCCTTCTCTATCATACAGATTATGTGAAATCTGTTCTTCCAGTGAGCCTTACTGATCGTCACACACATGGTGTACGGGGGGGGGAGCCCCATGCCCACACAGACCAACTGGGTCCTTGGACAAAATCTCATCGGCTCTCTGAATTCTCCCTGGGAACCAAGGGGGAGCCCCCTAGAGGAGAAGAGAAGACTTTGCCAATACGCAAAGCGCCAACATGCAGAAGTGGAAAACAACTTGCTCTTGTATTAACCCAGGGGATAGAATAGAACCAATGACTGAATATGGAGTAACAGCCTTTTGCTCAATATAATGGGGAAATTTTACAATAATTAAATCTGTCTAAAAATAGAATGGCTTGCCTTTGCTGGAGGTCAGGTAAAGACTAAGAACAAATTGGACACTCAAGAAAGGACACAGATGTTAAGTGGACATTTTGATTAGGACAGTTGATGTCTATTGCAACTCTGAGGATATGTACAATTTCTCTCCCACACGTTTTCACATTTCTGTTTTTTGTGCTGAACAGTGATAAAGGCTTGCAGCACCACGATCGTGAATCTCAATTACTAATCAAAAGATATGAATTGACTATTAATAGGGCAGCTTCCTCAAAAATCTTTTCTAGAATGAGGCAGAGTCTGAATTTTTTAAAAATAATTAATTAAATACTAAGACAGGTAAGTGGATTCATTTTAGAACCATTTGCAGGAGGCTAAAGGTTTCTGAGTTAACTCACATCCAATCAGAAATTCAATTAACCAGGACAAACATTCCCCCAGAGCTCCAGTTAATCGGGGTTCTGACACAGAACCTCTTTCCCAGCACCAGTCTCTGAGCCACTTTGTCTGAAGGTGGTTAAATTCTGTATCAATTTACATGTTTGCTCACAAAATGCATCACAGACCAGGGGGTAAAATCTGGATAGCTTAGCCTGTTGTTCTGCTCCTTCCAACGTAAATTGAGGGGTGGGAGAAGGGAGAGAGGAGAAAGAAAAGGAAATAAAAAAGAAAGCAAGAAAAGAAATGATGAGGCTGGTGGGAGAGGACTAAACACTGCAATTTTCCAACCATTTTCATCCAAATTGTCTGCAATTTCCCCGTGGCCCAGGCTCCAAATTGCGAGTGAGTGCTGCAGCAGTAATCCCGCCTGGAGCCCAAGTGCCATCCCCATAATAAAACCAGACCCACAACAGAACACGCAGACTCATACCCTGCTGAGGCAGAGTTCGTGTTTAAAGCAGAAGACTGAGGAAACAATACCTCCCTCCCTCATCTTGCTCTTTTGCTTGGAGAAACAGCCCTTATCTAGGTGCCCAGTAATCTGAGTTAGAGGCATTGCATTCATATATTGCAACTCCCTCCATTCCTTCTCTTCCTATCATTTTACAGATGAGAAAACTGAGGTTGAGAGAGGAACGGTGACTCCCTCAGGTCACACCCAGAATTCTCTCTGGAGCCATGAAGCTGGGATGTGGGGCTTCTTCTGCCTCTTTCTCTCTGACCAATGTGGGCAAAACCTTGAAGGAAAAATTCATCTCTTGATCATGTGAAAAGAAGAGGAGGAGAAACAAGACTAGGATTTAGAAAATGTAATGTCCTTTACCTGTGAAAGTCAACTCCAAGACCCAAGAGAATAAAATCTACCTGTAAATGAGGAAAAAAGTCACATATTTAATGGAATGTGACTACCCTGAACCATTGTAAATTAATTAAAATTTAAAATGAAGCTGATAATTAAGCACATAAATACATGGTGTGGCAGGCATTAAATCTAATTACTTCACTTCCAAAAATCAATTTGTGGGCCTGCGATTATTAATTTGTGGTTGTCATTAGTTATCAATGCCTAGATCAATATGCAGCTTTTTCTTGGCTGCCCCTGTGCCCTATCTGAGGAATGGGTCCATCCGAAAATCCTGAGGATCTTTGGTTTCCTGGAGAAATCTGTGGTTCAGAAGAGCTGTCATCTCCACCACTGGGTCTCTGTGCTGATTGATCTTTATTATTTTCTAATTCAGTGTGTGGCCCTGGAGGACAGTCCTAACGTCGCCTGCCCTCCTCTAACCCCTTGACTCCGCAGTTAGATGTAAGATCCAATCTCTGTTCTGCCATTTCCTACCTGGGAGATATTGGGTGGATTTACTTAATCCTGCGGAATCTCTATTTCCTCATTCAAGACACAAGAGAATTGATGAGGGCGACACAAACAGAGCACCCAAAACACAGCCAGCCATATAGCAACTGTTATTACCATTTACCACATTTCATCATCCTGTTTCTATGCAAAGGTGAAGTTACATTCATAATAACAACAAAAATACTATCTACACTAAATGGAAGTTATTATGATGATCCTTATTCCATCGACCCCTCAAGGTTACAACAAAAAAAAATAGATAAAAAGGTTTTTTGTAAATTGAAAAGCATGCTACCATCTTAAGACGAATATTCTTCCTTAGAGAGAAGATGGTAAATCTCAGGGACCCAGCCTAGGCGAATCCTTTTTCTCAGCATCCTTTGGGAAGCATCTCTGTGTAGCCCCTTCCGGGAGAGCAGTTTGGGGCCTGCCATATCTAAGCATCAGAGCCACTGTAATCCTTAGATGAGGTAGGTGTTGCCTGCCTCA